AAAAAGCTGGTGGTTTGACGTTCGGTTGAATATTTTGAGTTTCTAACCACGATGTTTCATTCAACGGATATCCAGTCATTACCCAAGGACCTAGAACGTACGTTCCAAGCGTAACGTTTGACAAAATTCCCTAAAATTTACCTGTTAATAATACATAGACATAATTAAAAAAATATATCATCAAGATACCTTTCTATCCTCCAAAAATTTCTTGTCGTTAATTCTTCCTTGATTTTCGACAAGAATACTCAGTTTTTGATTACTACCATTTACTGATAATTCCATTGTCGTATTATCGTAAGATCTACTCAGTGTTCCTAATTTTACCTAAATAAACATCACAAATTTTTAATTTCACCTTTGAAATAATAGCTTATTAATTATCTTTAAATAGAAACTAAAGTTTAAGTAAAATATAGGTATATCTAAACAACTATTATGTACAGGACGTCGATATCATATGGTTTTATCTCCTATGACGAATTTTTAGTTATTAATTTTATTTTAAATCTAGCTTATTTAATTATTGCTGCTGAGCTTCAAATTATTATTGTTATTTTATTAGTATAAGTATACTGACACAGTAAAAAAATTATTTTTAGTTATATTAATTCACCGGATAAGTAGAAATGTGAAAATAAAACCAAATTTCAAATAAATAAGTTAAAAGAAGATAATTGATAAGCACTAAGAATTTTTCTAATTAATAATTAATTTTTCGTCGTAATAAAAAAAAAAAACTGGAATAATAGTTTTAGTTTATAATAAATTATAAAATATCTAATAAGTCTGAAATGTCGATAAACATATATGTGTTATATATATTTGGAAATAATAAATTAATTTAAATGTTTAGAAAATTGAAATTCTTAATTTTCCTTAATATTTATTTCATAATAGTCTAATATGCTTTAAATATTTTGTAAAACAAATTTATAATCTTTCTCAACAACACATTTTTATTTAGCTTTAAAAAAAAATCACCTAATGATTTTAGTAAATATTTAAATCGGATGTTTTTAAATCATCACAATTTTGACAGTAAAAATATTAGACTTTAACTGATTATTTATATAAAACCTAATTATTAGAGAACAACAAAATAATACTTTAAGTAATATAATTTAATATAGGTACATACATTATTTAAAAAAATAATTGCTCGATCACTTAGCGATTTGATAACTAGTGGTAATTTGGTTAATCCTGTAATCATTGGTAAATTAGTTTCATACAATACTAGCCCTTGATTTATATCCATATCTTCAAAGCATAATGGTACGTCATTTAAGATAGATTCAAGACGTCGGGCTGCGTTATCAAATAAACTGACAACGGGCAACAAATTTACAGTTCCATAATTGCCTTTCGGTGAAATTTTTGGAGTTGACGCAGTTGGAAAATTCTGTAAAAATTATCTTACAAGAAAATATATTTTATAAATTATAAATATTTTATTTCTTCTAAATAATTTTAAATATTATTTTTCTTCGATGTATTTCTCAGTCATTTTGTGCACAAGCTCAAAAATAATGTATTAATCTTTAATATATTTTTTTGGTCTTTGCAAGTTACGTTATTTTAAATCCATAACTTCAATGGTTTACTTAATATGCAGTACCTACATTATTTGTTGACCCATATATATATATAATCTATATGCAATTTTAATTTTAAATTTAACACTGTGTGGATATAAATAATGAAACAATATAAGGACATATGTAGAATTGATGAAATAAAAAAAAAAAATTAATTTCATTTAATCTAAATAATTATAAATACTATATTAGACTATGTTCTCATCAACTGTAATTCACATAAAAATCAAGTCATAAGTAATTTCACTAATTTAATGTAATTATGTAACTTAAAATGTTTTAAATATTTAATTTATAGTTATACTGTTGTACAATGAAATATGTGAATCAAAGACTATTTCAATTAGGATTTACTATTTCATGTGAGCTTAAATACACAGATATACTTGTGATGAAACACATGTTATAACCCGTTCAATTATGAAACACGTGTAATTATGAAAAAAGTTTAATAACCGGTGTATTATGAAAAATTGTGAAAATCCATGTATTTAATAACAGGTACATAGATTTCCGGGCATTTAAAAATACACGTGTATTAAACCACACGGATACTTTAAAGATCATAATATCTTAATACAAATTTGGTAAGTACTAGAAATAAATTTTCTTAAACATGAGTCTAATAAGTAACAATGAACAATTTAATCAGTATAGATAAAAGATTAATAATAATTTTTTATATATTGTATATTACAAATTGAATTTTATATTTTCTAAATACACGCATAATCAAGAAAACTCCTTGTAATTATACTTACATGTGATTGATATTACATGAATATCCGTGTATACTTGTTAAGAAAACACGCTGATAAATATACTGTTTTACATACACGGGTTCTTAATTTTAAATATACGATTAACGGAATCCGTATACATGTGTATTTTTAATACAAGCAGGAAATCGTAAGTCCTGATTTCAATATAATATAAATTATAATCTATTAAATTATTTTTATTGGGTTTTTTTTTTTTTTACTTTTAAATATATTTAAATTACCGCTTTTTTTAAAGTCTGTTTTATAGCATAGTACTTTTCTGTCGGATCACCAGCTTCGTTTAGTGGAGCGGTAAAATCGTACGAAGTCAATTGCGGTTGATAGCCAGTTTTATTGAAAGTTGTCCCAACTGTATTAGCACCAGTAGTAAATCCAAAGTTGGTCCCGCCATGGAACATAAAAAAGTTGAAAGATACGTTGGTTGCCAAAAAATAGTTCAACACTCGTATTATGTCCTTGGTATATCTAGCCGGCCTTGGGTTGTCCCAAAACCCGACCCCTCCATTGTAAAACTCAGAGTTTACTAATGGCCCTTTTTTTTGAACTTGTCTCAAAAAATCCAAACACTCCGTTACTATAATAAATAAATTAAAGTTATAAATGTACAAATATTATAATACACCATAGTATATTAATTTGAGAAATATGCGAAAATGACTAGGTATATGAAAATAAATCATTCTTTTACTTAAAAAAAACTTAAATTTTATCACATCTCATTTATATAATCATAATTATAAAATAATTCAAGTGTATCGATTCTGTGTATACATGATAACGTATAACTAAATCAAAATAATTGTGAATGCCAAACATTTGTTAAAATAGTTTAAAAAATCGTATCTAAATTTGTATTAAGGTATAGAGATTTTTAATAATCTCGAAAAGAATAATGACAATATTATAAAACCCGTAACAAATGAATTAAAAAAATAATTTATGCTTTCAAAATTTAACTGATATTTTTGAACTTTAGTAAATAAAATTAGTGTAGTGTATAAAAAGTTTTTTAATATAATTTATATTTGCCATGATATTGTTTTATGCACATACGATATATCTTTGTTATATTCATACATATAATTATATGCTAATAAAGCAACTATAAAGTACATAAAAAAATTAATTAAATTATTAGTATCGCCTTATTGTATAATAGGTATTTAGTGTACTTTAAGTGGATTACTGTCGCCTCAGGGATAAGTTAATATAAATATGGCCAATATCTTCTGTTACATCTAAAAATAATATACTTAGACAAGCTTAGCTCGATATTACTAATATTTTCAGAGAGACATGTCTCCGTAAGTATTAAGATATACTAGTGTAATAGAATAAAATTGGGATTTAAATTGAATAATCTCAATTTAAGTCCTCTAATATTTTCGTATTATTAAAATATTATTCATATTATTATACAAAAGTACATTGTTAGTTTCGATAATAGATAAAGTTTTTTCAAAGTATTTAAAATTTAAGGTTAATTCATATTACAATACAATTAATAAATTCCGAGGAGACCTAGGAAATGAAAAAGTTCTTTCTTAATACCATTAACCAATGCAGCAAAATCAACAGTAGATAATACATTTGGAATATGCCCACACTTCAAATAAGATAAGCCACATTCGTCAGTTGTATAAAGTTGAGCTTGTTCACCAACATAGTAGAGTATTAAATCTCTAAGCCATAACTTGTACTCCCTATCACAGTTCCCTAAATCGTTATGGCCGTATTCATTTTCAACCTAAGTAAAAAATAAAAAAAAATAATAATAAAAAAATAAAAAAATAATTCAAAATTCAAAATACATGTAATAAAAATAATAGGATACCTATATTTATCTTTTAACGTTGATCAATAAATACGATAAATACTCAATAAATGATTGTGTATGACTAAATTAAAATTCTGAACTTCTTTGAATATTACAAAAAAAATTATCGTAGTTATATTATTTCGTTACTAACGAGTTATGCAATCTTAAGAAATTTTTTCACAATAATTTAGAACTTATGATTCTTAATATGTAAAAAAAATTCAAAAATGTAATTTAAAAGAAGTGTGTTGCTTAAAATACCAATTACGATAGATTTTAAAATGTTGATTTACCTGAACCATAATAATGTTACCTCCATTCCCATATAAAAATGGAACTATTTTTGGCATCAATACTGAAAACCATCTTTTTACATACTTTGTGTAATCTGAAATAATACAGGGAAACTAATGAAATTAAATTGACCAAACTGTTGCAATTTTCTTAAATAATTATAAAATGCATAGAATAAATATTCTACTATTCACAAAATAGTCTAAATAGTATATTCTATGGTCTTAAATAAATTAAAAATAACATTTACTGTTTTTTGTTGAAAAATATTTAATGTTTTAAAATTTATTTACTTAAAAATTGCATGAACACGAGACAAGTATCCAAACCAATGATCAGGCTTAAATATTTTATACAAAATTATAAATTTAACTTAAACAGTTGATATAGTCTTGATTTAAAATATTATTTAAAAAAAAAATATGTTGCGGTAAAAATACTAATACTTGTGAAACCTAAAATACACAAAACAGTTTAGTCAAACTCTAATTGATTTTTATAAACAAAATTTAGTTGATATCAGGATAAATATCAGTGTTGGTAAGAGTCTGAAACTTTATAAACATAGTGTGATATTATTTTCCTTGCTGTATACATTGTATATAGTTACATTAAAATATTTTAACTCAAATTATATAATATACACTGTGTGTTATTCACCAATTTAGGGAACACTGAATTTCTCGAACGAATTTAATTGAAATAAATCGATTTTTTTACAACATATTAATATATACTTCTAAACACACACTTACAGATACATTTTAAAATTTCTATAATTTTGGTATTAGCATATGCAATAAGACGTGTTTTTTTTTTTTTAATAGCAACACCTATTTTGAACGCTATACTCCAATAGGTCTAATTTTTTAAGGTAATTGTGATATATCAACTATGGTTCAAAATTAAAAATTGACTAAAAAAAAACCATTTAAATGTTGACATTTTTATGATTCATTAAAGTGCATAAAATCATTCATAATTATTTATTATTAGTTACTCAATAAATAAATTGTTCAAAGTTTGCTATGTTATTTTCAACGCATAATATGAAAACATCCTAGACATCCTCTGTTGGTTGTTAACATAGAAAAATTTCAATTAATTTCAATATAATCCAATTGAGAAACTCAGTGTTCCTAATTTGGTAATTGGTGAACACGTGGTATATATTATTTAAGTATATTAGGTACTACATAAGCTGTTACTTATATGTTAGGAACACATATTAAAATTATTATTATTATTATTATTTATTGATTTTATAATGAAATGTATGTGTGTGTATGTAAGTATGTGGGCATACACGATAAGTATATTTACCGAATATTTAAATTACTATTTTATATTTAAAGCAAAATTTTCAAAGTTGATAAAAAAATATATATATTAGGTAAAATTTTTTGAAAATGTAATACATAGTACCACATAAATTACTCCATGATAAAAGATAAAATATCAAAAATGTATAAACATTTTTTTTAAGTAAATTTTAAGTTAGGATTTTGATAAAATTCATAAAAAATGTAAAAAAATGCAAATTATTTTCTAGCTAGAAATTAATTAAAATTTTTCATTTTACATCTATGTTTTGATAATTCATTACAAGATTCCTCAAAGTAAGTAGTTCATGTTAGAACCATAAAATTTAAAAAATATATCTTTTTATTGTTTTTACAATTTTTTCTTATGCAGAGATTTTAAATTGAAAAATAGACAAAATTATTTATTTAAACAATCAAAATGATGGTAATTAGTTTGTTATAATTCAAAAACATAATTCACGAGATTTAAATCTTCTATATGTATATTATATTATTATGAATTTCATCTTACAAAATTACATTTTTGACTTATTTTATGATATTATATCTATTTATACTATGAATTTATCGATATGAATGCTATGTAATTTAAAAATACAATTTAGATTTTCTACTTTATAGAAAATATTATATAAAATTATTTGCTAGTTTAATATTTCCCTTATCGCTTGTCCGCTTTAGTACTCCGACCTCTCTCGTATCGTTTCTATCGGTGTGCATATAATCTATAACTGACTTTTTTTCTAAGTAATATAAAATATAATACATTTTGTTTATTGACATTTTTAAGCCACTAGTAACAGTAGTAAGAGAAAAGAATAAATCGGTATACCTATTTTTACCGTAACATTTATAATTTCTGTATATATAAATTTTTTTTT